CTAAAGACATGACATGCCGAAGTCTGACATTACACGACGAAACATAAACACATCGATAAGTTCGAAACGAATTACAAGCAAATCCACATGCCGACATAGAACATAAGAACTACACCACGTAGCCAGACGTGGCACGACGACGCCTAGGACGTGGTCGAGTGGAGGTAGTGCCTTCACCCGTAGGGCGAGCTCCATCTGCTGCTGATCCTGATAGTCCTGCCTCCGTCGCACTTGGTTTCTCCTTGTCTTTAGGACAATGCTTGTAGGTGTGCCCATGTTCATCGCATTTGCTGCAACGCTTCACCATGCCAGCCTCCGACTCGTCCATATCGTTGCGGATGCGACGAGTCCTCCTCCTTCCAGCCTTGCCTCGGAGCTTCGATGGGTCAGGAATATTGAGTACTTCATCGTTAGTCTCTGTGAACTCCCCAGCTATGCCGAACCCATAAATCTCGCCGCTCCATGTATGATATATTGCTTGCTTACTGAAGTACTGTGACACATATACTGCATCTGGTATGCCACACTCCGCTGCGGCAGCAATGACATGGGTGCATGGCCTGTGGAGCAGCTTCGGCTTTGCACAAGAGCAATGACATGTGCCGTCGGCTTTGAGAACACACTCCTACTTCACTCTCTTGCGGTAGATACCCCTGCCTGCCTTATCTTGACATAGTATCTCAAACCTGTGCTGTTGGGTACCTTGCACTAGAGCTCGATGTTTCATGGCCTTTTTACGCAACTCCTCTAGCTTTTTCTGCATGAAAGCTCCAAACAAAATGCTGTTGTTCGGCATAGAGGGAAGAACTGCCTGGAACCGATCCCTAAAATACCTGCATGTCCCATGTAAAATGAACTCCACTATGCCAACTAGTGGCAGTCCACGGACACCGCGCATCACCCAGTTGTAAACTTCTGCCAAATTTGTTGTCATTATTCCATATCTAGCACCACCTGTGTCATACGCCTTGGCCCATTTCTCTTTTGGTTCATGCAGAATCCACTGAGAAAATTTCCGAATCTCCAATCCAGTTCTTCTAACCAATGTTGGACTATCCGTTGGGAGAGGTCCAAGAGCTTGAGGAGGGTCAGCAACGGCGGTCGATGGAGCTGCTGCACGCTGATCACTGCATTTGGCTGTCAACTCATCTAATCTCTTCCAAAGCTCATTGAATTTTTTCTCCTGGTTCTGATTGCACAGCCTCTTGAACATGTTCATGAGCTCCTTGTTCTTGAATTGCTTGAAGAAATTAGCTCCCATATGACGCATGCACCACCTACTCTGTACATCTTCCCAAACACCGGGGTATCCTCGTTCCATACTCCCAAACTGCAACTCTTCTATCACTCGCAGAATGCCAGCGTGCCTATCATGTATCAGGCACACATTTGGCCTCATACCAACAACTTTTGTTTTAACCAATTTCAGGAACCAGTACCAGCTGTCGGTATTCTCACTCTCAACAAAAGCAAATGCCAAGGGCAATACCTGATTGTTCCCATCTACCCCTATTGCTGTTAGTATCTGGCCCCGATACTTTCCTGTCAAGAATGTCCCATCAATACAGAGAACAGGACGACAGTTCACGAATGCCATCTTGCATACATGTAGAGCTAAGAACGCCCTTTGCAGCACACTCTTGCTAGGATATTCAATTGAGGGGAATTTCTTCACTTCGTAAGAGCTCCCAGGGTTTCTTTCCTCGATAACACCAAGCAGGCGTGGCAAATTGTCATACGAGGCTTCGTAAGTTCCAAATCTCATCTCTATTATTTTCTGTTTGGCCCTCCAGGCCTTGGCATAGCTAATAGTATACTTGTATGTCTCTTCGATGTGTCGGATTATTGACCTTGGTTCATATGTGAGATTATCGATGACATGCGCATACATCTCAGATGCAACAAATGCACAAGTAATGTTCCTGTGGTATTTCTAAACACCAGGTAGAAAACATGTATGCTTGGTAACGACTGACACTGTCCAATAATCCTTCCATTTCCCCTTATACGCGTGCACTCTCTAGGGACAACCATCTTTTTCCTTAACACACCGAACTTCATATTGCGACCGGTTCGACTTGGCAACCCAAAACTCTCTATGAAGTGACACTGCAAAATGTTTTACCGCCTCCTTCATATCTTCTGCTCTACTATAAATCGCTCCCTGAATAACCTCATTTTCTTTGTACTCCCATCTCACACTATCCTCTTCAGAGACGATCAGCCCAGAAAAATCCTCACTAGCCCATTCTGCTGGATTAATATCCGTCTCATCATCTAACGAATCACCTTCCTCTACACGCTCGTTGTCAGAATTCTCCCTCTCTATTTCATCCACAATGGCACCGACAGTCTCCCCCTCGTCGGCCACTCCACCTGGTTGAATACCAACTGGAGCTACTACGCCCCCGTCCTCTCGTGCGTTGACCTCCTCCACAGAAGTCTCGTTTACTTCAGCACTTGGTCCCTCGCCATCATCCATGTTCATCTGCACACCTGGATCCTTCGGGTGAACAAACGGAACCAAAGCTAGAGGCCACCCGCGTTGCAATGCATTTTCCAAATACCATCTCCACACTCGAGAGTTTTGAACTGGCATTAGTTCCCAATAAAAACCCTCAGTTGCCCGACTTACTATAACATTGATTGTTATGTCACTTGTCTGTGGATCAACTCTCAAGCCCTTCATTAACCATCCTTTTATAGAAGGTACACTCCTCTCAGCCGGTCTATCAATTCCCCTTTCTGATACAATAAAATCTGACAGATCTACCCCAGTTGGCCCGTAACGGACGTTTCCTGGTCCATGGTAAACTTGGAATATTTGTTTGTTCGACATATCTGTCAACGAAATAACTAGATCATATTACTCTTTCATGCAATAAACATCTACAACGTAATATCTTCTTGTGTAAGCCAATGCAACGGTAATGTATTGATTCCAAACTAGCATATCTACGTAGTTACTAATATCTACAATACGCACTTCTAGATTAGTACAACTAAAACCCTAAAAATATAATGCATTTTTTCAAACAAATTTTTAAAGAATACACACTATTTAACTCAATAGTCACATATAGGATCTATGAATATTACCTGAAATTGGCGTCTGAATCCGGCAGGGCTTCGCCCCTTCTTCTCTTCTCCTCCCCTCTCTTCTTTTTTTTTTCACTGGAATTGAGGAGAGAAGAATGAGGGCTGGGGGCTGGGCAGCAGGCCTTTTATAGGCAGCGAGGCCTGCCGCCCGGCCAAAGGGCGGCAAGGGGCCGCCTGCAAAATAGCCGGCCCCGACTGGCTTTTTTTGCATTCGGGCCCCTTGCCGCCCCACCAGAGGGCGGCAAGGGTTTTCCTGCAAAAAACCCTCCCTCCGTCACCGCCCGTTCCTCCCCCGTTTGCCACGTCAGCTTGCCGCCCCAGAGATGGGGCGGCAGGGTCTATTTTTGTAATTTTTTTTGGCCGATAGATTATTTCTGTAAATATTTTTAAAAAAAATCTAAAACCGAAAAAAATCCATTGCACGATGATGAGTCGATGAGATGACAAATTCACAAATGCTCCACTCAAGGAAGAGCGCCACCGTTCACAAACCTATCTTTCTGCTTTCCTAACCTGACATGTATTATTGTGTAGTACTCCCTCCGTCACATAATATAAGAGATTTTGAGTTTTTGTTTGCATTGTTTGACCACTCGTTTTATTTAAAAAATTTGTGCAAATATAAAAAACGAAAAGTTGTGCTTAAAATACTTTAGATAATAAAGTAAGTCAAAAAAATAAATAATAATTCTAATATTTTTTAAATAAGATGAGTGAACAAATAGTGTAAGTAAAAACTCAAAATCCCTTGTATTATGGAATGGAGTAATACGTACTACTTTCGTGTTGTCTGACTTGTTGTCTGCCTGTAATTTACTATTTACCCAGGGTCAACAATCAGTTTGACATTTTGTAAATTGTGATCCCTCTTGCGTTGATCTTCCGTTGTCACAGATTTTAATTTTCATACAAGTACTAATACATGTATTTCAGCCGTCAAAACCTTCCAGATATCGCACAACTCGCTAGCAATACAGAAGTAGTAATACTGTAACTTCCAAGAAGGATTAAGGAATAATCTTCTCTGAAAGGTCAAATATCAAATTCTGTCCCAAAATTCAGTAGCACAAAAGACAGTCGTACAAGAAAGGGAGAAGGAAAAGAAACATTCGTAATTAATTCTGAATTTTAATCTCACTGCTTATGTTAATTACTAAACCGAGTGACACACTGACACCTGAAGAAGATGAATCATTAACGACCATGGAGAGAACCACAACGAAAACAGCAAACGATAATGTGGTCTGAGGATGATGAGCCGCCCATGTTGACCAACCTACTCCACTAGGCTGACCACCACTGCAACCATCAGCTCATCAGGAGCACGAGCACGAGGACTCATCAAGGCCGTCCATGGTCCATTGGACGCCTGTGATTGCTTCCTGAGGGAGACTGTCATTCGTGAACGTCCACATACCGTGTTGCAACAGCAAAGTCGATGTCCATCCTGACTCGGTCTATTTATGCTCATAAACCATGGTCTCTTGTTTTTCTCTCTTTCTTTCGATGCTTCGACGAACTTGACTATTTGCTTCTTTTACTTCTTAATTTAAAAAAAAAGATTATTTGCTTCTTTTCTTACCAGGAACAGAAACAATTGATTAGTACAAAATGGTACTTCCTCCGTTTCACAATATAAGACTTTCTAGCATTGTTCACATTCATATAGATGTTAATGAATCTAAACACATATAAATATTTAGAATCATTTATATCTTTATGAATGTAAACAATGCTAAAAAAAATTTTACATTGTGAAACGGAAGGTTGTACAAAACAAAATACATCTTAAAAAAAATCACTTGGGGTTACATCTGAGAAAAAAAAATCTTAAGGATTAACAAACCAGCTATGCTCTCATTGGATGTACTAGTATCATGTATGATATGGAAGCATTTTATGTAAACTAATTGAGCACTTGAGGTGTTGAAGTGGCGTTAATTAGTCCAATAAGCAGACGATTTGACCCTAATAGAGTCATTACAAGGAGCAGCCCGGTCGGTCAGTGTGTGTCACTGTCTCTCACCCTCCCAACGCTTAGACATTTCAACGTTCTCCTCCACAGCAACAGCAGCAGCAGCAGCATCTCCTCTTCTTCACCGCATCTGCCAGCCTAGCGAGCCTAATCAGGTCTTCGTCTTCTTCTTCCTCATCCCCGTGCCAATACCGATTTCGCGAGCTCCGATGGATTCCGCGAGAGAGGAGACGTCGCCATGAGAGGGGAAGCCGAGCTGTGCGTGTAGCTCGCTGCAATCGCTGCGCCGGTCAAGAAACCAGCCGGAATCGGCGGCTGATTCCGGTGGAGGAAGATGCGGCGGAAGGCGGCCGGAGATGCTGCTCTGGTAGGCGGCTGCTTCTTGCTGCTCCTCCACCCTCTCCTCTCCCATGGCGCGGACATGCCGTTGGGCTCCTCCCTCTCGCCGGCGAACCAGGCGTTGTGGTCGTCTCCCAACAACACCTTCTCCCTCTCCTTCACGGCGTCCCCGACCTCGCCGTCCCTCTTCGTCGCCGCCATCACCTACGCCGGCGGGGTGCCCGTGTGGACGGCCGGCAACGGCGCGACCGTTGACTCCGGTGGCGCGCTCCGCCTCTCGTCCAGCGGCGACCTCCAGCTCGTCAACGGCTCCGGCGCCGTGGTCTGGTCATCGAACACCGGCGGGCAGGGGGTCACCACCGCCGCGCTGCAGGAGAGCGGCAACCTCCTGCTCAGGAACTCGTCGGCGACGTTGTGGCAATCGTTCGAACACCCCACGGACACGGTGGTGATGGGGCAGAACTTCACCTCCGGCATGAACCTCACCTCGGCGAGCTACCAATTCTCCCTCGACCGGAACACCGGCAACCTCACCCTCAAGTGGACCGGCGGCGGCACGGTCACCTACTTCAACAAGGGGTACAACACCACCTTCACGGCGAACAAGACGCTGAGCTCGCCGACGCTGGCGATGCAAACCAACGGTATCGTCTCCCTCACCGACGGCTCGCTCACCTCTCCCGTCGTCGTCGCGTACAGCAGCAACTACGGCGAGAGCGGCGACATGCTGAGGTTCGTGCGCCTAGACACGGACGGCAACTTCCGCGCCTACAGCGCGGCGCGCGGCAGCAACGCGCCGACGGAGCAGTGGTCGGCGGTGGCGGACCAGTGCCAGGTGTTCGGCTACTGCGGCAACATGGGCGTGTGCGGCTACAACGGCACGTCGCCGGTGTGCCGGTGCCCGTCGGAGAACTTCCAGCTGAGCAACCCGGCCGACCCGCGCGGCGGCTGCCGGCGCAAGATCGAGCTCCAGAACTGCCCGGGCAACTCCACCATGCTCCAGCTCGACAACACGCAGTTCCTGACCTACCCGCCGGAGATCACGACGGAGCAGTTCTTCGTCGGCATCACCGCCTGCCGCCTCAACTGCCTCTCCGGCAGCTCGTGCGTCGCCTCCACGGCGCTCTCCGACGGCTCGGGCCTCTGCTTCCTCAAGGTGTCCAACTTCGTCAGCGGGTACCAGTCCGCGGCGCTGCCCAGCACGTCGTTCGTCAAGGTCTGCTTCCCGGGGATCCCCAACCCGCCCCTCGGCGGCGGCGGGTCGCCGTCGGGCAGGGCGTCGGGCGTCCGCGGGTGGGTGGTCGCGGTGGTGGTGCTCGGCGCGGTGTCCGGGCTGGTGCTGTGCGAGTGGGCGCTGTGGTGGGTGTTCTGCCGGCACAGCCCCAAGTACGGCGCGGCGTCGGCGCAGTACGCGCTGCTGGAGTACGCGTCCGGCGCGCCGGTGCAGTTCTCGTACCGGGAGCTGCAGCGATCGACCAAGGGGTTCAAGGAGAAGCTGGGCGCCGGCGGGTTCGGCGCCGTGTACCGCGGCGTGCTGGCGAACCGGACGGTGGTGGCGGTGAAGCAGCTGGAGGGGATCGAGCAGGGGGAGAAGCAGTTCAGGATGGAGGTGGCCACCATCAGCAGCACGCACCACCTCAACCTCGTCCGCCTCATCGGCTTCTGCTCCGAGGGGCGCCACCGCCTGCTCGTCTACGAGTTCATGAAGAACGGCTCCCTCGACGCCTTCCTCTTCGCCGACGCGCCGGGCGGCAGGATGCCGTGGCCGACGCGGTTCGCCGTCGCCGTCGGCACCGCCCGCGGCATCACCTACCTCCACGAGGAGTGCCGCGACTGCATCGTCCACTGCGACATCAAGCCCGAGAACATCCTCCTCGACGAGCACCACAACGCCAAGGTCTCCGACTTCGGCCTCGCCAAGCTCGTCAACCCCAAGGATCACCGCCACCGGACGCTCACCAGCGTGCGCGGGACGAGGGGCTACCTCGCGCCGGAGTGGCTCGCCAACCTCCCCATCACGGCCAAGTCCGACGTCTACAGCTACGGCATGGTGCTGCTCGAGCTCGTCAGCGGCCACCGCAACTTCGACGTGTCGGAGGAGACCGGCCGGAAGAAGTACTCCGTGTGGGCGTACGAGGAGTACGAGAAGGGGAACATCGCCGCCATTGTCGACAAGAAGCTCCCCGGGGAGGACATCGACATGGTCCAGGTGGAGCGCGCGCTGCAGGTGAGCTTCTGGTGCATCCAGGAGCAGCCGGCGCAGCGGCCGTCGATGGGGAAGGTGGTGCAGATGCTGGAAGGGATCATGGATCTCGAGAGGCCGCCGCCGCCCAAGTCGTCGGACAGCTTCTTGAGCCTGACGTCGGCGACCACCGCCACCGGTGTCAGCGGCAGCGGCAGCACCAGCATGGTCTCCACGTTTACTTCCTCGGCGGCGCCGCCGGCGCCCACGCCGTCGCCGAACGTCGACGAGGTCCAGCAGGAGATGGCCGTGGGACGCTCGGCGTCGGCCAGGATCCGCGACCGGGCGTCTCGTTCGCTGCTGGGGCAGGAGCCATACATGACAATGTAAAACTTCATCTTCTCATGAGGTGAATAGCAAAATGATTTTGCTTTTTTTTTTTGCTCCAGTAAATGGGAAAATTGCTCTGGTTAGTGAGCAATTAGGGAGTTGATCTGGTTGATTTTGTTTTGGTGGAACATAGAAGCAGCTGTCGGTGGAAGAGAAGTGCTTTTCACTGATGGTGAGCAATTTCGTACTTCTACTTGAGAGGATATCTATGTGCCTGATGAGCTGAATTCTGCAATTTGTAAGTACAGATTAGATCAAACTCAATGGTATATTCGCGTTGTAACTTGTACAAATAATTCAAATGAGGCGATGCATTGATAAATGGAGTGCAAACATAGATGCAATAGCTTGTCTGATTGTAGATTATGGTTTTGGGGAAGCTAAAGCAAAGGCAGAGATAAGCAGATCAATAAAAATTCAGCTACTTCAGTTTGTTCAGTACTGAGAAGCAGCTTGCCTCACACTCACATGCATACTACTGGTAAGAGATTGTTTTGGCATTTGGGGCAAGGCATGAGCAATCTGGCAGATTGATAGTACACAAAAACATGTGCAGGAACTTTCAACAAACTTCTCTATCAACCTTTATTCCATTAAATTAAATGCATGGGACCCATGACAACCCTTTCCAAAGATCAAATTGCCTGCATCATGTGTCATCACTGGCAATTGCATCTCCATGTCCATGGAGAGCTTGCAATTGCGTAGTAGCTGAGGAAACATGTGATTAAGGCTTATACTGGGTCTTATTTAATGCTAGATTTATGAGCACACAGCTGTTCTTGAGTCTTGGCCCCTTGTTCAGCTATTCATTCAGAAGCAGTCACTGAAGAATGTTGTTGAGCTTAGACTCACTGATTTATAAGCTTCCTGTTTAGCAAGCAGACTCATCGGTGTTACATTCAGAAAATACCGGCACATTCCAACTTGAACCTAGATTTATTGGCCAATTGCTTTAGTTAAGAAAATGAAGTAAAATGGTTCCATAGTGTAGTGGTTAGCACTCCAGACTTTGAATCTGGCGACCTGGGTTCGAATCCCGGTGGGACCTTTTTTTTTAGTTTTACTAATCTTTTTGCATCACTGCATTTAACATCATCACTGTCTAAACAACTTCTTGACGCAAACTGCATATCCTTTCCTTTTCTTAGGTGCATTTATGCGAAGTTACTGATGATTATGATGTTGGAGCCATAAGTTTCCAAAACAATAACAACCTTACCGACAGAATTCCTCCTACCCTCAAACTGTTGAAGTCATTTTCTTGATCAAAACGAACTAAGTGTCATGTCCTTTTATTGTTGGACCACTTATCGTCCTTATCTTAGCTTCTCGTAGTTTAACATGTGACACCGAAGAAACATTCAGCCATGATAAGAGCAGTCCGAACTAAGATATTCGCCAGTCTCACCCACCACCAATTGAACTGTCATATACGGTCTTTCTCCAGGTCTCCTGCCTCCCGGTCAGCCAATGCCCAAGAACAATTAGTGTAACCACACAAGTAATCATCCTCAGCTTTTCCAATGTTTGTGAGCTTGGACAGGATGAACAAAAGGCGGGGTTCAAATGTCAATGAATAACTTTGAACATGCCCTGGGTTTAAAATAATTCCATTCTTACCAGTTCTGCACTTCAATTCGGTTGCAACAACAAAGTTGGCAGTTCTAGAAAGTCATTCAGAAAGACCCAAGCACTTCAAATTTTCTTTTGAAGAAAAAGGACAGATAACGAAGAAAAGCTGTGGAATACTTTACAGAGCGGGGAGTTTTGCGTGGAAAACTTACAGTGTTGTAATCCAGTATTGTAGGCAAGAAACTTGCCCACCTTTATCTGTACATGATTATCAGATCCTTCTTCATTGAAGTCAGATGATAAATTTGAAGGACCGTATTAGTGAAGTCCTCCTAGTTAGTACTCAATCCAATTAGCATCCAGATCCTTCAGCTTCAGGAGCCATTTCTGTTTGTCCGGAGAAACGCTTGGTTTGTTTGGCTTGCTTGCGTGTTTATTTGTTATGGCATATGAGGATCCAGCCTTACTCTCATCATCAGAGTTGGCTCGCCTTCTAGGTCGTCTGAGTTCAAGAGAAAGAAGGCGAGAAACCTCGTGTACTCCACCCCATTTTTCCAACGCCCGAGCAATGTCATAACGTCCTATCATTAACAACAAAGTACGAGCATTATTCATAAAGAAAGATTGTGAGTTCTTGACAAAAGAGAGAACTGGTAAAACTAGCATGATAGGAACCCAGGCAATAAGGTTGTTACAAACATCAGTCTGACATAAAGGAATGGCATCCATGAATGCTATGTTGCTATGTAGTCAACTCCTCAATTCACCGCTCTAAAAAAACTACTGAATTCACCAATCTTAACATGTATATATATCTGGCCTGACGATCGAGAATTGACGGAAGTGTTAAAAATGGGAACATGGTGAACTTTGGGTGCTATTAAAGTGAACCGGTAACTTTCGGTGCTATAAAACCAAAAACGTGAACTTTCGATGCTATATAACCAAATTTGCCAAAATTTTAATATGATTAGAGGAAACTGAACATATTTTCATGCCCCAGAGAAAAAAAAGGGTCCAAGGTTTCCAGGTACCTTAAGCAAGCATGGGAAAAATTTTGTTCAAAACACCTCAGTCAAACATGGCTTCAATAATTTTGACCAGAAAAAAGTCAGAATGACTTTGTATAACTCTATAAGGTTTATCAACTGCCAGATAAACTACACTAAGAAAATATAGATAATAAATTGACCATAGCAAATATTTAGACAAAAATAATCAAATACCTGCTCTCTCAAAGGACTTTCTACTTGGCATATAAGCAGGGTCCATCCCCCAATTCTTCTGGAATCGCCTGATCTGTATATAATGGTTACTGTTAATAACATGTCAAGAATGAAAGGAGTGCTCATTATCACTCCTCATGCTGGAAATCTCAGCTCACAATTTTTAGCATTCTGAACTACTAAAGCCCTGTAGAACACAGTGGGAGGAGGGGTATATACTTTTCATTACCTCTTCTTGCAAGTTCTCCAGATTATCCCAATAACCTCTTGGTTTCCGGTTTTTATAAGAAAGTGAAAGATTCATTATGCTGGCAATCTTCCTGAACCCACCCATGCGTGTTATTGCCTTCTCGATATCCACCCTTCCATGCAAACGAAGGTGTTTTCTCTTAGGCATGAAGCCATCCTGACCATATTTTGCAATAAATTTCTCAAGTTCAGATTTGAGGACCTCAATGTCCTTTTGAAGGCCTGGGACTTTTGGTCTCTGCTTCACAGGACTCGAAGAACATGACGTGGATGCTTGTTCTGATTGCCTACCTTCTGCATAATCAATAGCAATAGTATCTGCATTTGATGCTACAATAGAGCTACTTGTGGAGTTACCGCTCTCAGCTTCTGCCTTTTCAATATAATCACGGATTGCACATAAGTTTGATGGAAGATCTTCATATATGACCTGAGGTACGTAATCAAAATGTTTGTTTTCTTTTAGCAAAAAAAAATCATTAACATGTTTATCAAAGCACCATGACCATGCATAAATCAGCTTTTGATAAGAAGAAAGAGTGGCAAAAAATCATAAAGCTGCATTCATTCCCCTACATACCCCCCCTCCCCCCCCCCCCAAATAGCATCAAGTCATAAGATTAGATATCCTTAAAGAATGTGACGGTACAACTAAGTTTAATAAAGCGCAATGTCTGCGTCATGAGGATATCTTATAAAAAGCTGTTTAAACAAGTTTTTGGTACTGACGAGAGGGGGAAAAAATCCATGTGAGGTTATCCAGAGATAATAAAATATGGAACTATTATTCTTGCACTAACCAAATGAAGCAACGCAGGATAATACAGATAGAGGATGTGTGCTTATACCTATTCAGAATTTAGAGATTCATTCATTTTTCAGGAAGGTGTTTATTTTTACTGAATTTCTGGTGAACATAAAGACTAAAAGTTTTCGCATGAGCACAATAGCACGATGTTATGCTCAACTAGATGATACATCCATCAGAAAGTTGCTTTGAAAACTTAATCACCAAGCATCAAAACCAACTATTATGAACATATACCCCTGGATTAAATAGTATTAGTACAATTGGTCCTCAGTGAACCACAATTGAAATTCAGGGGCACAACAAAGCGTATTTTAATTACCATTTTTCCACTTCATAACATTAACGTGTTCTCTATATTTATTGATAAACTACATGCATATAAATTTCTTATACCTCTTCAAGGATAGACTCTGAGAGAAAGGTATCTTTATGCATCTTAGTCTCAACCATATACTTCAATAAGGTGTGCTGATCACCAAGTTGTTCTAGGCGCCATTTTCCTTTAAATGAGTAGAAATCACCTTCAACTTGCTCAAAGCTTATCTCACGTTCAAGTTTCTCGCGAAGATCCATAACAACACGGGCATGAAGCACCATATAAAGTAGACCCTTGCAACCCTCCTATAAAAGATATGAGATGTTGCAGTTCTTGCAAAGCTCATGAAACAACCAAATTGAATTAAATTCTTCCAGAAAAAGTATCTTTTGGGAGGAGAAGGTGATCTTTCTTCCCATTTTTAGGACAAAAGCTAAATTCCATTTGTTTAGTATTCTGGAGTGATAGGTGCATAAAAGCATGAAGTTGCAAGACTTGGTAAAAATGATAGATCACTTGGTAGCTTGGACTAAAAGTGAAAACCTAAGCTAGCTATCAACCAGAAAGTGAAATTGAGGATTGACGCTTTCTATAGAAAAGGAGCAATCCCACCTCTAGACTTAAGATGCTAATTCAGTAACGTATGAGATAAGTATTTAGCAAAGCTCCCACCTGCAGTATGCGAACCTTGTTATTATCCCGACGAATAATCCTACTGATAGCCAGATTCGGCACAAATCTGACAGATAACTTTGTTAGCTCATACTTGTATAACAAGATATCTGAACTGTAAAAACTGAAGGAAGATAGAACTACTAACTCAGGCAACTTCTCATATGCAGTGAGAATATTCCATACTTCTCGCACTGGCGCTTTCACAGTGATACTAGCAAACACAAACCTGTGAGCCCCTTCATGTTCCTTCAATCAAATCATTTCACGAGGGGAAGACAAATCTGTCAGTGTGCTTCCCATCAAAATATAAGAACCCAATGATAATTCTTAGATGCATACAAATTTAGTAAGTTACCAGGAGACCATCAAATCTTCGAAGATGGATCTCATCTACCACACACGGCCTATCAAGTCTGCAGACATTTCCATATACTCCCCATTTGCTGTTCAACTCAGAAGGAGGTGAAGCAAGCACACCACCAAGACCAGAAGGAGGTGTTTCTTTGAACTTACTAGGAGCAATGGCATCATTCTCAGTGGTTGCATTACGGAAGTTATGAAACCTGGAGCCTGCACCACTAAATTTTGCAGTTCCATGTCTTTGGTTTCCTAAATATATGTTTTCAGCTCTACAGGCCAACGCTCCAAGATTCACAGGAAGATCCGACCTTATGATCCTCTCAAGAAATATTGCTGGGAAATTAAATCTTGGAATCACATTAACTTCATACAACAAAATTGCACTAGATGACCTGTCATAAAACGAAACAAAATGTCATATGAGACCTCTAAACTGGCATTACTTTTTTGCTAGCTAAAACATGAAGATGTTTAAGGATCCACGAATTCTAGATCAGAGCATCATGTGGCTGCCAAAAATGTAAGTAACTGGTAACTCAGTAAGCAAACAGTCTGGACGATCATCAAAGGCATATGCAATAAACAAGACAAGACGATGACCATGAAATCCCCACCTTGGACCAGATCTGATGGACCATTTCCCTTCGAACTTCTTAAAGTCACCATCAACCATGGAGAAGTGGAGCTCTCGTCCATTAACCTGGATGTTGACTGTTTAATAAGGAAGAATAGCTTGATATAATAACTAGGAAATTAGGAGAATCATTCAATAGTCAACACCTCTTTAAATTCGCTATCTAAAATTTATACAACTAAACGCCAAATATGGTGTAACATCAAGATAGTTTCACCACAAGAATCAACGCATTCAGAAAGGTTAACAGTAGAAGATGACGGCTAGGTTCGTTCATGCCATGGGTTGTCAGGAACAAATCTACAAATATTCTCATGCATTCAGCTCAAATGTTCACCTAACCTAACCATCTATATGTTTCAATTGCATCTTAATTACCTCGTGAAAAACGAAAATCACGACTAATTTAGTTGCAACATAACAAAAACGAGGTTAGGGTGATCACTTCACGTACAGCATCCGGAACCTCCTTGAGATCCAACACGACGCGTGCCTCGATATGCCAGTAAAGCGCTTGCTGCAGCCCCCTCTGCTCGAGCCATACTCGGCCCTGATGCGGGCATGGAATCCTCCCACTGCGTTGCCGAACGACGCACAAATTTCCCCCAATTAGACCCTCAATGAGCATGCGAGAATTTGCAATGACACACGAGAAGGAGAGATGGAATGTGGACCTGTGAACGAGGTTGGGGATGAATTCGGCGAGCCGCTCGTAGTCGGTGATGACGCGCCACACGGTGTCGACGTCGGCGGCCACCGCCACGGACGCGAACACCCGCCGCTCGCGCCACGACACCACGTCCACGTCGCACTGCACGCCGGGGCCCGCGGCGCTCTTCCCGCCGCGCCCGCCTCCGCCGCCGTGGTACTCAGCGCCCCAGTGGTCGCCGGTGGCGGCGGCGGCCGCGGCCGTGGTGACCGCACGGCCAGAATGGTGCCGCCAGAGCGCCGCCCCGCAAGGAGGCGCGCCGCGGTGGCTAGGGTTCGCGCAGGGGTTCGGAATTCGCGGCAGGAATGCGGCGGCGGCGGCGGAGGAGGAGGAGGAGGAGGAGGAGACGAGAACCCTCGACGTCATCGCCGCTCATGTGGGGGGGAGGAGCGGTGGCCGGTGAGGCGAGAGTTACGGATTTTTTTGGAGGTGGGGCTGCAGTCACTGACATGGGGGGACACGAACGTGGGTCCCACTTGTCAGTGGCGTGGTTCTGGACGACGGAGACGTCGGGATTGTTTCTGCCGCGATGGGGATAGCCGAGGTGAGATGTGTGGCGGGAAGGGGAAGGGGCGCAGCCATGGCGCGTGGTACAATGAATCTGGTGTGGGCCCGGTTGTCAGCGTGGGGTTGTGGTGACCGGGCTCTGGGCCGACGTGGCCCGTCCTGCGCCTCCCATGAGAAAAATCGGGTTGGGCAGTGGGCCAAATCTCGTTCCACCATCTGTTTGAGCTTATTTTCAACTTGTAAAAAAAATTGCAGAGTTCGGAGTTTGCACAGTGTAATTTGAGGGTCTGTTTGGCACAGCTCCAGCTCCAACTCCACCCCTCCTAGAGTTAGAGCTCAGCCAAACAGTTTCAGCTCTATCAAAACTGGGAGTGGAGTTGGGTAGAGCTCTCTCACAAAATATACTAGAGTTGTGAAGCTGGGTTTAGGCAGCTCCACAACTCCACTCCAGACTCAACTCCTGGAGTTATATTTAGGAGTTAAAGCTGTACCAAACAGACCTTGAATCTTTATTTTTAATTAAAATATAAATAAGATAGATAGTCCAAAATGACAGTCTACACCTAGATGCATCACATTTCACATGAGATTTATCACATGTGAAGAAAAGGGGAAATTATGTTTTTTTGGAAAGTCCCTCCTATATCCAAAGTTCCACATTACCGGTGATATATGATCATTGTATTGCCATTATGTACTTCAGATGATGAACATGTTGATTTTGTTTATCTTCCTTGCGAGTTGACATCAAGTGATTTTGCAACTGACATTTGCCGATGACCACGAATGCCTAGAAGCTACTAGGCTTTATTTGAGGCAAATTCCGACCTTTGAAGTATAAACTTTGTCCTTTTGGAGAAAGCTCTGTGAGTGCCGATTTTTTACACACGCATCAGTGTCACCATCGCTATCCAAGTAGGTTGTTCCAACATAACCCAACGAGAAGTGGTCTGAAACGACCGTGGTGTACTTGGTTAGACCAAATGCTAGATTTTTCTTGTAAAATCCCGATTTGGAGAAAAAAAACAGATAGTATATTGTTCTAACAAATTTATAATTAAATCAAGTTTCAATATTCAATAATTTCTCAAATGCTTATTTCAAAATAAAAATGTCATACATATAAATTTGTTCTAAAAAAATACAATCATTATCTAGACTTTATAAACTTATGCTAACATAAAGTTGATTATTTGAAATTTTAACTGAATATTATCTAAACTTCAAATATGACTGGAATGAGTAGATCAGTGCAGTATTTTAGGCCTACATCAACATGCTGGGTCGGTACCAGAGTACTGGACGAGGCCCAAGCCCATGTGTCCGTACGTGACAGCTGGAATTCAAAACCCGCGAGCCCAAAACGGCCTCGTCTCACCTTCTCTCTCGCACCCGCAAAAGCTCAAACCCCTACACTCGCACACCGCACCAGCGATGTCGGCGGCGGCGAAGGCGAAGGCGAGCGGCGGCGGGAGGCGGGGAGGAGCCAAGGACCCAACCGACGCGCTCCGCTCCGACAAGAAGCGCCGCGACATGGACGACTCCGACGACGCCGAGCTCGACAGGTGCCTAGCTAGCAGCGCCCCCCCCCCCCCTCGCCTCCCCTTCCCCCTCCTCCCCGGGGTCCCCGCGCTATGTTCGGATCGAACTCGAAGCGAGGGTTTCCTGGTTGCTCTCCCGCTTGCCGCGATTTTGTCTTAATTTTGCGCCGGATTTTTGTGCGATTAACCGATTTTCTGCGTATGCATTTCGTGATTCGTGACGTGCTTCGGTGGGGATCGGGGGAGGCAGTGACATGAAGGAGATCGTGTTGCTGCTGCGCCAGATCAAGGACAAGGCTCACAAGGATGGCCAGAAGAAGACCGAGCAAACCCTCTCCAGGTGATTCCGAGTCCCACCCTTTTTACGGCGGCTTTATTACCATGCCAATTGGTATTGTAGATTACACGCGTGAAATTGTTTCTAAGTTTTCTATTAGTGCTAATTGAGAGATAATTTAACGTGCTTACTGTTAGATATCAACAGATGGTGCTCACTAGTCACTATGCACCACACTTGCTTAATTTCTGCAGAATTGTGCTCAAGTCTCTATACACCAATGATCTGTTATGAGTTCCGTTGTGTTGACCAGCAGTAGTTGGTCCACGTCACTTTAATTTCTGTGGAATTGTGAACAGATCACCGTTTAGGTCTCCTATCTTTTATGAACCAATGATATAGTAGGATGTACCAGTGTGCCAACTGCTTATTGTTCAACTTATCTCCTGAATCCGATTTTTTTTTACTGTATAAGTCTGTGTGAGCCTTGGAGCTCCTGTAGGCTATACTCAATGTAGCAGATGTGAGGCGTAGAGTGCGTTAATTGAATCGCTCCCAAAGCATGGAAAATGAGTTGAGACTAGTGATGTGGAAGAATAGCTTCATCTAACATGGTTTTCATATCCACATGACAAAATTAATATGGTGTCTCAATGTGGTCTGTTTCTGAAGTTATCTACCACGTGCATAATATTAGATTACATGACTAACTGTTCTGCTCAATTTTCAGTGTTGCTACAGAAATTCAGACTATCGTACAGGATGCCAAGGGCAAGTTTGAGAAGGAAAGGTAAAGGACCAATTCATTTTACTTGCCTGTGAACTTCTACTTGTATGAATGCAGTTCTTTTTTGTTGTACATCTGTGGTGAGATTTAAAGTGGTTTTTGATTCATTCCTATAACATGATTATCATATGAAGCTTTCTTGGAAATGATTACGGTGCATCATTCAAATATACTATGAATTCTGACAACTGTTTTTTATTTGCATTAGCAGGCAAAATTATCTGAAAGTTCTATCAAAGACTTCAAAAGAGGTTACCGACCTGTATCCAATGCAGTGATGCTCATCTGGTAACAATCCCCTCATAGTTTGTGCTAATGTCAGCTTCATTTGTATTTGATGTAGTGTGAAGGTTTACTGAAGAACGAGTACACCAAGTTTCAAGCAACACATGATAAATTCTGCAAAGAAAAAGCTGCACACATGCAAACTCTCAAAGGTATGTCAAATGAGCTACCTGCAAACACATTTACTTAGAAGTGAGTTTTGCTGTTTGTTTCCTGTGCTATTAGGTGAATTATATAGGTGAACTTTGTGCAAGGAAAAACTGTCATATTTTATCTTGAGATTTGGTACCAGGATTATTGTACTAGTTAACCTTGACCTTTGTTTTCTTTTGTACAAAAATGGAGCGATATCATTAAATAATACTCATAATGAGCAATGTGCATGCACCTTGGCAGTTTCCTGACTTCATTAGTTCCTGCCACATAGATATCATCAGTTGTCACCTGTTATCAACCTATTTACACATGCATATACTGTGTTCTGCAGACCTTTTCTCAAAGTTCGAAGATGCAAAGGAGAAATTACTTATCCAGTATGAACTGCAAAGTAAGGATATATCATTTTCTATCTCATTGTAAATGTTCTTTATTCTTAACCAGTGTCTCTTAAACAGTTACCATGTGTGAAAGACATTTGTTCTGATCTTGTCTAACAGGGAAGAAGGAGAAGGCTACTCTGTCTGAACTCGAGAAAACATTTTCAGAGAAGATAACTAATGCAGAAGAATCTCTGAAGAAGATGAAGCAGGTTCCGTCATTTAATGGCTTACATGATCTACTATAATTTCTTGTTTCTGTTGATACTTGATACCATGTCTCATAGTCCAAGTTAGAATTGATGTGTCCTGATTTTCTTACTCGCAAGTACTTCTCTTTGTGTGTTTGCAGGATGACAAATCCATTGTCAACCTTCGCAAGTCCATTGGCTCATTCCTGGACCCGGATGATGAGTTTGGAGCAGACGATGACTGAAACTGCTGTTGCCAAAATGGTCCTTTTAGAACGCCGTGGATAGTATTTGAGAATATCGATAGTATATATATGAACAGAAGTTACAAAGTTCTGTAGAGATTTGGTAGCATCATACAGTTAGGTACCACATCATCCGTTATTTTGTTTTAAGTTCATTGGGTTAGGCGGTTCCATCATCTGTTTTAAATGCATCTTGGTCGATTCAACAGCAAGAGGCTCAAGATTGTTTAACCTCTTTGGCCTGATTTTCCTTCTTATATAGGAGTAAGTCATAACCAGTAGCTCGCTAAACTTACTTGTCAATATATTTGTATATTTGCAACAAATTATTCATATACAGTATCAGATTTGTATATCAACAGCATAGAATTGCAATGAATCTTCCTTCTAATTTACAAATCTGCAAGCTTCCCTGGAAAAAGGTGGAGCTATGAGATATGTCAGCTATCCTGAAACAGCCTGAATACCTGATGATGCAGCATCACCTGGAGCAAGTAGCCATGTCGGGGCCTTGTACGTCGACCATGGTGTACTTGGAGCAGGTTTTGCACCGGAGGTGCCACTTACCGGCGCACACCATCGACGCGAACTGCGCCCCGCACCGCGGGCACTGCCCGGGGCACGGGAACATCTCCGGCTTCGGCCGTGGCGGCGGCGGCGCTTTCGTCGTCGGAGACGATGGCTTCCTTCACCCACGGCGGTCTCACCGGCCGGCGGCACCAGCGGCACGTCACGCCGAACTCATCGGGTTCCCTGACGAACTCGCGGTCGCAGCGCTTGCAGTAGATGACCATGGGTGCCTCCCCTTGACGCCGCGCGGGCCCCTCCTCATCGGCGGCGGCGCCGCGGCGCCTGGACGCCGCGGCCGCCATCTCCGGGTGGCGCGCCCAGTACTCGCTCCACCAGGTCTGCGCCGCGGTGTCGGCAGCGGCGGCGGTGCCGGCGGCGGATGCGGCGGCGGCGTTAGGGTGGTGGTGATCGGAGAGGGCGTCGCACGCCTGGCGCAGCAGCTTGAAGGCGCCGTCGGCGGCGGCGGAGCGGTTCTTGTCCGGGTGGACGAGGAGGGAGCGGCGCCGGAACTGCCTCTTGATGGCGTCGCGCGTGACGGCGGCGGCGGCGGAGGAGGGCTGGTCGATGCCGAGGACGGCGTACCAGTTGGGGCGGCCGGGGTTGGCGGCGGCGGCGGCGTGGACGTCGTAGGCGGCGAGCGCGTTGGCGACGCCGGGGAGCGAGGGGCAGAGCCTCTGGGCTCTCCAGGCGAGGCGGTGCGCGCTGGCGATGTTGCCGGCGAGGAAGAACTCCTCGGCGCGTCGGCAAGCCTCCTCGGCTTGCTCTTGGTTGGCTACCGCCATGGCGAGTAGCTAGCTAGCCTAGCCAGGACGCCCAAGTGCGCACCATGGGTAGGAGGTTTATGGTCGTCCGAGAGTCCGACTCCTAAATCCTAACCGACTTGGATTTGGATATTTAAATCGGATTCAGAGACTATCATCACAAAGGGCAACAGGATCAATGCGGTGATTGCTAGGTTAGGGTAGTTGGCGACTCTACTATCACCGCAAGGTTTTGGGTGCTGCGGTCGTGCTTGTCATTTTGTCTCTAGTGGAATCGTCAAAAATCGTGTTGGCAACTTTTTGTGACAAGTTGACAAGTATGACCGCAACACCTAAAGCTTTGCGGTGATAGTAGAGTCGCCAACCACCCTAACCTAGCAATCGCTAAGTTAAAGATTAGTTTTGATAGATCAAACCGGCTAGCGGAGCCGATTTAGATGAAACGACGGATAACTATCCGTCTCATGGGTAAAACGGAAGATTTTCAGGACAAACCTACAAAAAGAGGTGTCGCTATCTGGCAGTGACGGGAAACGATTTTCAGCGCAAATCGACAAAGATGGACGAACTAAACTAAAGCTAATTGAAAAATAGAAAGCAATATTGAAAAAAACGATTCTATTGATTGAGTGTAGGATATTTTTATAATTGAACCGGCCTTGTTTCTTATATAGGGGTTGATCTTGCCACTCTCCTCCACGTCCAACTCAGGATAGAAACCAAAGCAAGCCCGAACATGTCTTTCCGAGCAAGGAAAACTCGAGACCCGACAAAGCAGACTCAGGCTCGGACTCTGCCGGTCAGACCGGCCACACACCGCTATACACGGTGGTCATACCGGCGCTCTCAGAGAAAAACCAGCAGAACCTCCAAACATTGGCAATTTCTCTATTTCCATTCTAAGATACTAAATTTAGATGTAAACAGTATATACAAGAAAATAAGCAAAATTTAGGGACATAAAAGAGATTAGCTAAAATTCCATGTGTACATATGGCATTTTCTCTTTTGGCGTGGGTATCCAGGCGTAGGCTTCGTTGGGGCTCTTCACGAAGACCAAGAAGCATTTGTTGCAGGCGCGGCAGGGAAGGAGATGCTTGCCAATGGACACAGTGCCCGTGAACTTCGCATCGCACCCTGGGCAGGGAGTGGGGCACGGGAACCTCGACGACGATTGCTGCTGCTGCTGCGGCGGCGGCGGAGCTCGACCAGTCTGCCACAACGTGCTCACCCAGTGGTTGCAGTTGACGCAGTTCACGCCGGAGACGCCGTCGTCGACCACCGTGGCGAACGAACAGCGGCAGTTCGGGCAGAACATTGTTCGGCGATGTGGCCCCGGCTGCCGGGGCATCCAGTCAGGCGGTTGGGCGGTGGCCGGCGGCGGAGGACAGCTTACCGGAGCCGCGGCGGAGCCTGGCGGGTGGAGAAGCGAGAGCTTATCCCACGCCTCCCGGAGCAGCTTGAAGGCGCCCTCGGCGGCGGCGGAGGAGTTCTTGTCCGGGTGCAGGACGAGGCAGAGCCGGCGGTACTGTTGCTTGAGGGATTCGTGCGTGATGACGGCGGCGCCGCTAATGCCGGTCGAGGTCGTCGTGGAATCGTCGCCGACGGCGAGGATGGCGTACCACTTGCCGCCGCCGTTTGCGCGGGAGGTGGTGGCGGCGGCGTGCACCTCGTAGGCGGCGATGGCGTTGGCGAGGCCAGGGAGTGCCGGGAAGACGCGCTGCGCCGCCCGGGCGGCGCGGAGTGCTCCGGTGATGTCGTCGGCGAGGAAGCGATTCTCTGCGAGCTTGTAAGCATTCTCAGCCGCCAGCTCCTCGACGCGACCGGGCGTCGCCATGGGTGACGCGTGATCGATGGACACGAACAAGATGAGTTGCAGCTTTGGCTGTTGCCGAGCGCGCCAATTATATCGAGCAGAGGGGAGTCCGAGTCCGAGTCCGAATGGTTGGGTCGCGACAGGGGACTGAACCGAGTCGGATCATCGAAGGCTGGTGCAGATTGCTGACTAAAAAACAATGCCGTGCCTCGTATAATCTAGGATCCGTTCATATTGGTGCCAAAATAAAAATCATACTAAAATTTGATAATAATTGTCAATTTTAATAGAATTGGCTTAATAATGTTACCAAAATTTTATACATATTGTCAATATTTAATAAACTAAATGTAACCACATAATTATCGATTTTATTAAATAATGGTATGGTTGAAAATATCATCGATCTAAACATGCCCCTAAACTTGCAGGCGTCCTGGTTGGTTAGTCTTGTCACGCAAGCTTGACAATGTAGCCTTGTCATGCGACCTTGATAATGGCCTTCCTATTGAGAGAACCATTCAATACAAAAGTAGGTTGTGCTAATACTCCTTCCATCCTACAATATAAGAGATTTTGGATAAATGGAACTAGCTGTTTGTCCAAATCTATAGTACTAAGAAGTGTCTCATTGATCTATCCAAAACCACTTATATTTTAGTACGGATGGAGTATAAAAGAAGTTTGCCACATGGAAAGCCAAAGACCAAACCTCCAGAAAAAAGCCTTATTACCAACAAAACATATTTACATTCATCAATACATGTCTACTATAGTTAGTTAATTTCATAGCTGAACACCACTTGTAAGGTTTTGTGAGATTCTAAGCAATAGAGGGATTTGTAGTGTTTGTTTCGCAATATTTTTAGAGGATTTATTAAGTGCGGCCGACATAAATCTATATAAAGTTTGATCTTTGAAAGAGGGACTAACCGAACAATACCTAATGGGTAAATAAGCTATTAAGATAAGATAAAATATATACAGATACACACCATGTTACTGAAGTAATGCATGATGTATGCGTGGAGAACAAGAAAAAGAAAAGAAAGGTAAAACAAAAACGATCAGAATATCTCAGCATATTTCACTTTTTTCAATTTCTTGCTGAGGATCTAGGTTTGAGGGATAGGGGATTAAGAAGATTGGGAAGATACGCAAAACGAGGTGAGCCATTAGCGTATGATTAATTGAGTATAAACTATTTTAAATTTCAATAATGGATTAATATGATTTTTAAAACAACTTTCCTATAGATTTTTTTTTAAAAAAGTGCACCGTTTAATAGTTTGGGAAGCGTGCACGTAAAAATCAAAGTACTTTCTAACTCAATGTATCTGGAACGAAATGAACGTGGTTACAGATTTACAGATCTAGTATATACCTTTCCCTGATGATCTAATTATCGACTGCATCCTGAGTTTTGAGAAGCACCATATCTTGAAGATGCAGAGGTTTGCATAGAAACTTTATTTAGAGTAAAATATTTTGTTTTCCTGCATATATGTAAGTTGAATTTAAATTTGTATATTTTTAGAGTGCGTCTCATATTAGTTATCATTTTAGATTATTTAGTACGTATAGATTAAGATTTGAGAAAAATGACTATAGTGGACCGACAATAATATAACAGTACAAAGGAGAGAAATTTGAATTAACATAATTGATGGAACTATCTTGGAATTTATCTATCTATCTATCTATCTATCTATCTATCTATCTATCTAAAGCTGGTCGTGTTGCCGCCAGCTGATTGGCTCCTCATTCACCAATTAATTTACTGACATATGGCTAAATACTGGCCGTATGATTCCAGAAGCAGAGTACCCGAGAGAGAGATGGAAGAGAAAGTGTGTGTGTGCGCGAGAGAAACAAAAGTGGCTACGTATTGTCCATGCCCCTGTCCAAACAGTACAAATTTCACAAAATAATCCATTGGCTTCTTTTGAATTGCATATTTAATGTCTTCAACAAATTACATGACAAATTTGAATGTTTTCATCTAGTAAATTTTAAATGCTAAAGAGACTAACTGATTTAGGATGGGGGTACACAAATTTTGATAATTTGATCCTTTGAAAAAACTAATTTTACAAATGAAACATCGCCAAAACTTATTTAAAAAATAACATTTTTTCAGCGTCAAATCCTATGGCGCTGAACTTAGACACCTCAGCACTACGTCAACTAGCGTTGAATGTCGTGCCACCGCGAATGAAAGGTTGAGTCAGCGTGTCAATCTGCATTCAGTGCCATACTATTTGGCGCTTATGTGTCTAAATTCAGCGTCACACGATTTGGCGCTGAAAAAAAAGGTCATTTTTAAATAAGTTTTGGCGGCGACAGTTCATTTGTAAAATTAGATTTTATAAAGGGTTAAATTGTCAAAATTTGTGATGGGAGTCGGAGCACTAAATGGTTTTCTTCGACAACATTTTAATCGATATGAAGATCCGGTTATCCAGGAGGTGGCGCAGTAGGGGTTCTTGACGAAGACGTAGGAGCTCCTCTCGCAGGCGGCGCACCGGAGGAGACGCGTTCCGGTGGACACAGTCTCCGTGAACCTCACGCCGCACCTCGCACAGCGAGCGGGGCACGGGAACAAGCTCACCCAGCGGTTGCAGTGGACGCAGTTCACGCCGGAGACGCCGTCGCCGACCACCGTGAAGAACGAGCCGCGGCATTTCCGGCAGGAGATGCGACGCGGCCCTGGCGGCGGCGGCGGCGGCGGTGGCGGACAGCTTACCGAAGGAGACGCGGCGGAGCCCGGCGGGTGGAGAAGCGAGAGGTTGTCCCACGCCTCCCGGAGCAGCTTGAAGGCGCCCTCGGCGGCGGCGGCGGCGTTCTTGTCCGGGTGCAGGAGGAGGCAGAGCCGGTGGTACTGGTGCTTGAGGTCTTCGTGCGTGATGACGGCGGCGGCGCCATTAGTGCCGCTCGAGGTCGTCGCGGATGAATCGTCGCCGACGGCGAGGATGGCGTACCACTTGTCGCCGGCGTCTGCGCGGGAGGCGGCGGCGTGGTGGACCTCGTAGGCGGCGACGGCGCTGGCGACGCCAGGGAGTGGCGGGAACAGCCGCCGCGCCTCCCGGGCCGCGTGGAGCGCTCCGGCGATGTCGTTGGCGCGGAAGCGATTCTCTGCGAGCTCGTAAGCCTTCTCGGCTTCCTCTTCGTCGTTGCGACCGGTCGCCATTGGAGACGGGTTGCAGCGCAGCGAGTGATCGATGGACGCGCGAACTAATTAAGACGAATTGCAGTGTTGGCTGTTGCCGAGCGCGCCAATTATAGCGAGCAAGAGTGGAGTCCGAGTCCGATACCGATGGTGGGTCACGACAGGGCTGAACCGAGTCGGATTATATGCGTATTTTATTTTCTATTTTTTATAGACTTACATATATGGGTCTATCTATTTTTATTTTTTTCTTGACATTAACACTATGTAAATGTCAAGTAGATATTGTGTTAGATGAAAACCAGGTCAACGTGCCAAGTAAGATGAAATTGCCATCCGAACCACTTGTGGAGATAAAACAATCCGGTTTGATAAAATATTGGTGGTGTTCATTTCTCCTGAAGATAAAAAAATAAGTTTTTTTACGTAAAATGAGGTGGTATTAACGTATGATTGATTGAGTTTAAATTATTACAAATTTGGAAAATAGATTAATCTGACATTTTAGAGCAACTTTCATATAGAAAATTTTCGCACGAAACATACCGTTTAGCAGTTTGAAAAGCGTGCCACGAAAATCTTTATTTTCATCCAAGTTTTGTTGGAGAAAAGAACATGGCCATTGAGTGAACCTTCGTATATGATTCTAATATTGAGGAACAAAAATCGGCCTGGGCTATTATGGAGAGAGGAAAAAAAATATTTTGTTCCATTTCACTACTCTTTCACTAAAAGAAATATCAACTGTTGAGAGGTACCCCTAACATTTTCTAAGTATTGTAACCAACATTTCCTTTCACAAATATATGGCACTATACAAATCACAATGCAAACTTTTTTTTTATTTTGCCCTTTGGCTGCATAGAGATAAATTTCTATAGTAATTAAATAAACAAATATAACCACGAGTGAGCATCCCAGCACACGTATACTAGCTAGGTTAAATTTGTTTTTTTTTCAACCTGTGAATGTTTACATGTTGGTACAGTGATCTATCACATAATAATCTATCTTTTTAATTTACTTTAAAAAATATATTTAACTAACTGGATGACAAACAAGAACGAGACGATGTCGCTTGAGGGATTAGAATCATTTGAGAATTAAGCGTGCGGTATGTCTGTTTTTTACGAACGGCTAAAATTATACGTTAATATATTAGAAAAAAAGAATGTTTGTTAGGAAGATACGGAGGTTTGGCTATCCGAGGATCCAGGTGGTGGCGACGCTGGGGCTCTTCACGGACACCATGGAGAAGGCTTTGCAGACGCCGCACGGGACGAAACGCGTGCCAATGGACACGGTGGCCGTGAACTTCGCACCACACCTCGAGCAGTTCCCGGGGCACGGGAACTGCGGCTGCGGCGGCGGCGACGGCGACGGTGTCTCCCTCTGATGAGGCGGCGGCGGCGGCGGCGGCGGTGGCTGAGGCGGAGGCGGAGGTGCGGGCCCGCTCTGCGACGACGTGCTCACCCACCGGTTGCAGTCGAGGCAGTTCACGCCGGAGACGGCATCGCTCACCACCGCGACGAACGAACAGCCGCAGTGCGGGCAGCGCATTGCTCGGCGACGTGGCTTTGCCTGCCGGGGCGCCTTCCACTCAGGCGCTTCGGCGGCGGCCGGCGGCGGCGGCGGCGACGACCAGCTTACCGGCGTCGCGCCGGAGCCCGGCGGGTGGAGAAGGGAGAGCTCACCCCACGCCTCCTGGAGCAGCTTGAAGGCGCCATCGGCGGCGGCGGAGGAGTTCTTGTCCGGGTGCAAGACGAGGCAGAGCCGGCGGTACTGCTGCTTGAGGGATTTGTGCGTGATGACGGCGCCATTAATGCCGCTCGAGGTCGTCGGCGCAGATGGGTCGCCGACGGCGAGGACGGCGTACCACCTGCCGCCGTCTGAGCGGGAGGCGGCGTGGTGGACCTCGTAGGCGGCGACGGCGTTGGCGAGGCCAGCAGGGAGTGCCGCCGGGTAGATCAGCCGCTGCGCCTCCCGTGCCACGCGGAGAGCTCCGGCGATGTCGTTGGCGAGGAAGCGATTCTCCGCGAGCTCGTAAGCCTCCTCGGCGTCGCGACCGGTCGCCATGGGAGACGAAGAAGTTGCAAGGTAGACGCGAACTAGACGAGAATTGCACTGTTGGCTGTTGCCAAATAAACCGGGGGCTCTGATGATCTGGTGGGTCGCGATTAGGGCTAAACCGAGTTGGATTAAAGGCCCAGTGCCTGAAATTTAATTCATGTGTAGATAAGCCTGTTCGAGTGAGATCTTGCATAATTTTCTTCTTCAAGAGCACATAGCATGTTTAATTCTCGACACCGTTTTGCTGCATAGTGTGCATGCTTATTTCAGGAGGTTTTTCTTTACCTCTTACATTGTCTATTCTTATTTTCATAATTCTCGACACCGTTTATTATTCTCGCCGGTGGTGGTGGTGGCGGCGGTAGTGCGCGCGTGCCGGCCCCGCCAGGATCCGAGGCCGCCGCTGCTGCTTCACCACCTCTTACCTAGCGTCCCCATCCGCCTCTACTGCCGTCGGGGGCCGGGACGAAGTCCTCCCCGGCGCCCGACGACCCCAGGGACCTCCACGGCTCCACCACCGGCCACCGCACCTCCTCCGTCGCTGTCCTCACCCCTCTGCCATGGTGTGCCGCCGGCCTAGCCAACAGGGCCCCTCCTCCTGCCGTCCGCCCAGGCTATCATCGACCACGGCTCTCTTGACTCCTTCGCTTTAGGCCTTTGGCTAGATCAACTATGGAACAAAGGGTTATCATTATGATATTGAGCACTCTTGCCGGTTACTTGTCTAGTTCAAGTGTCCACGTTGCTCACGCTTAGACAGCGGGGATGTTAGCGTATATTATAGTTAGAGTCATATTATGATAGGATTGATTTGTGTGTGACGTTTTTCTTATTTGTAATCATTTCTTATCTCCCCTCTATATACTTCTATATATCAGGCTCCCGAGGCTTAATACAATATTTCAATACACACATTATCCCTAATTATTCTCTCTCCTACTGTCCAACGGTAGGCACGGCATTCGTCGCACTTGCTGTGCCACGTCCACGCCGTGAACCTCGCGCCGCACATTACGCACTTGTCGAGCCACGAGAACTTCCACCTCTCCGACGACCCAGTCCGCGGCGCCGCCGGCTGCGGCGGCGAAGCCGGAGGTGTATCCCTCTCCCTCTGATGAGGCGGCGGCGGCGATGGCTGAGGCGGTGGCGGAGGCGCATCCCTCTCCGTCTGACGAGGCGGCGGCGGTGATGACTGAGGCGGTGGCGGAGGCGGAGGCGGAGGCGGTGGAGCTCGGCCTGCGGTGGCCGGCCTCCTCCACAACGGCGTGGTCGCCTGCTGCTTGCAGTGGACGCATTGCACGCCGGAGAGGAGCAGGTCGCCGAACAACGCAACGAAAGAGCAGCCGCAGTGCGGGCATTGCACGGTTCGGGTACCTGATGGCCTTGCCTGCCCGGGCGCCGCGGCGGCGCCGGCGGCGCGCGGCGGGTGGCGAAGGGAGAGCTCGTCCCACGCCTTCTGGAGCAGCCTGAACGCGCCGGCGGCGGCGGCGGAGCGGTTCTTGTCCGGGTGCACGACGAGGCAGAGGCGGTGGTACTGCCGCTTGAGGGACTCGTGCGTGACGCCGCCGCCGCCGCTCGAGGTCTTCGCCGATCGGTCGCCGACGGCGAGGACGGCGTACCAGTTCCTGCCGCCTGCGCGGGTGGTGGCGGCGGGGGCGTGGACCTCGTAGGCGGTGATGGCGTTGGCGAGGCCGGGGAGAGATCGGAAGAGGCGCCGCGCCTCCCGCGCCGCGCGGAGAGCTCCGGCGATGTCCTTGACGAGGAAGCGATCCTCCGCGAGCTTGTAAGCCTTCCCGGCCGCCTCCTCGCCGTGAGTGGTCGCCATGGCAGACGAGGTTGGAAGCGCGCGCGAACTAGACGAGATGCATTGCTGCAGAGCGAGCGCGCCAAATATATCGAGCAGAGGGAGTCCGCCTCCGAGTCTCCGACAAAAAACTGAATCGAATCGGTTTACGAAAGGCCCGTGCCTGAAAATAAAATTAATCTGTATTAGCTTATTTTTAGATGGATTAATCTGTAGCTAATTAGAGCCAGTGCAAAGGTACACGGCATGTTTCTTAGATTTTCTCTGAATTAATTGTGAACACCATCTTCTCCGCGCTGTTCTTTGAGTAATGCAGGGTCAAATCGTTTGGCAGAAACCCATATAGCAAAATTTGTAATGTGGGAAAATCCATTCCACATTAGGGTTAAACATATTTTTTCACCACAATCTCTCTCCCTATTAATTATCTTTAAATATGAGCACATGTGTCAACTATAGAAGTTAAATCCGGATGAACTACTTCCACCATGAGAAACCTAACCAGTTAAGATACAATTACTTCGCTTTTCATCGCTAATCTTCATTATTTGGTGGTGTTAGCAGCTGATTAAGTAAAGGCAAAAAGCGATGATTAATTGAGTTTTAATTATTATAAATTTAAAATTGATTTATTTGATATTTTAAAACAACTTCTACATACAAAGTTTTTATACAAGACGTAGCATTAAGCAGTTTGAAAAACATACTAACGAGAATCTATATCTTAATTAGAAAAGTATAGGCATCAATACAATCGGCCGATGTTCCATCGCCAGCCAAGCGAACATGAGAGACAGATTACACAAGTAGAACAGCCTCCACAATCAAAGTCGATATATAAACCTAGTATCTCCCACAACTAGTGATGGATCAATACATGTTAGAATATAATGTGAGGTAAAAAAAAAACTTATTATACGTGTCAAGAGAGTAACAAACGCGAAGGAACACAGTCACTTCAATGTCACTAGTTACACTTCAGTTACTGATCGATCTACCGTCCCCTGAAAAAGGAACTAAAGTGGCAAAGAACAGATGAAAAATACCGAGCTAATTATCGAGACACATCCTGAATAATTAGCCACGTAAACACCACATCAGCTAAAACAGCTACCCAAACTGCTTAGAGTTTTAACAGTTGAATGAC